CAGGTCCTAGTCAGAGCCTGGACACATGCATCCACTGTGCGTGGACTTCCCCACTTCCAGAACATGGAGCCCAATAAATTATTCTTTATAAATTGCTTGGCCTCAGGAATTTGGTTACAGCAACAAAATCAGACTAAAACACTAGTGAAAGTCTGGTGGGAACTGACTCACTGTGGGTGGTGCTCTGCGGCTCACCTTAGGCTGGCCGGACAGTGGGGTGACAGCGCACAACCCCTAGTTCAAAATAGACTTCTGTGAATGTCAAGGAGGGAGCCTCTGAACATGTCTGAGAAGGATTCCAAATGAGAACCATGCTCCAGAGAAAATGAAAACCCCACAAAGCTTCCATGAAATGCACAGGCAGTATGTTTTGTTGGCTGTGAAACTGACAACAACAGAAAACCCACAAAATACAAATGGATGCTAAAATGTTCAGAATCCTGTCATACTATTTCAGGATTCTGCTCACATTTGTTAAGTTTCTTCTCCATAGTTATTTTCTCCATCACTGGGAGTAAAGAATAAAATAAGCTTTCTGTCTGAAAATCCCTAATTTTGTGGGTTTTTTTATTTTTGTTTTATTGGAGAATTCACTGTTTTGAGCAGCCAATCTAACTTTTTCTATAAAAATTGTCAGGAGTCCATTGGATGCCAGGAACTCTCAGAATTTAAGAAAAAGAACCAACTCCTTGCCTGAGATTCTCTAAGTTGCTACAGCTGTTCTCTCTAAAAATGCTGTCACCCTGATTTGCACAAAAGGAAAGTACAATACATTTTTTTTAAACCTCAAACACTCATAAAACAGCTACTATGTTAACAGCATTTTATTGAATTATGAGAAATACAAGAAAACAATTATTTCCAAGTCTTTAAAGTCCAAATAAATTATGGTCCCCCAATATGGTAGGAGCCATTAAACCTTAGATACCAAAACTGTGTGTTTGGCGAATGATTCACACAGGGAAAATGCTCACCATGGGACATCAGTGGAAACCAGCAGGACATTTGGCAACTCGCATGTACTCCAGGGTCCTAGGAAATGACCGGGTCATTTAGATGTACAATTTCTTCAACACTTGTGACAGGCCAGGTTAACAGGTGATGCATAGAATAGTTTATTTCATTTAGTTGTTACGGTCTCTCCAAAGTAGACACTATTCCCAATGCATAGCTGAGGAAACTGAGGCTCAGGGAGATCCAATGACCTGCACCCAACACTCTGGTGTGGCAGAAACAGCCCAGGAATGCAGTGCTCAAGGGATTCCCAGACCAGCAGCCATAACAGCTGCAAAGTAGGGCCTGTAGCACCCCATGGCCCCCAAACCTTCCCCTTCACAGCCTGGGTTTTCACAAGACTCTGGTGAATCTGCCCATTCAACTTTTCACCACCTTGCTCCATACCACCCTGAAGAACAAAGCCTTGGGAGAACATTTGAAACTGTACGGAGCAACCAGCTGGGACTGTTGGTGTGATTTCATCTCTACCAAGAACAGCATGGAAGTGCGTGTTCCCTCTACTCGTGCTGATGCGCTGGAAAATGCAGCTAGAGAATCCCAAACAAGAGCCAGCTCTCCCCTCTGTTCCTTCCTCTGCCACCACTGACTCCAGATCAAGGAAGCTCATCCGTGGAGTCTGGTACAAACCGGAAGGGAAAGTCTTCTCTGGGGACAGTGCCATTCAGCAGGACTCATGAGACACAGTTTCTGGCAGCCTGGCGGTCGGGGAGCCAGGTCCACCCTGTGGCTGCAGAGGCTGGACCCCCGCCTGGGTGAGGAGGAGAAGGCTACAGTGGGAATAGCAGATGGGTGGACAGACAGATGAGGGTGGGTGGTGGGAGGCAGCCCCTGGGATGACAGCATGGCCATGACTGTCATCAGAAGCCTGTCCCTCTGCAGCTGATGGCGTGCCACATACTTGAGAGCAGTTAGTGGTGACTGAGCCAGTCTCACGACTCAGATCCACTGTGATGCTAAACCCGCAGATGACCCGCAGCCCTTGGAAGTCATCGGAGCAGCTACAGAACACTGCGCCCCTTAAGAATCCTCCACTGAGAGTGACCTCCTTCCATCCGGGCCTGGGCCTGCTCTGGGCACTCCAGCGGGCTTGAGTGGACTCCATCTTCTCTCGACTCCTGGCCAGGCACATCCTGCTGCCTTTCTCCTCACCCTGTGGTATTGATGGAGGGGACCTTGGCTCCCCGGCCACTGCTGATTCTCTGGGAGGAGCCCTGACCCAAGCCCTGCTTGCCAAGAACTTCTTGGGAGTTTTCAAAATGGATCTGAGAGTTCCCACACCTCCCCAGGGGTGGGAACCTTAAAGATAAACAACCTAGGAGAGTCTATCTGTGGACTTGTTTACTTCTATGCCAAGTCTGGTATCCAGTGAGAGGACACTCAGTGCTGCAGTTCTGAGGCCCCTTAGCTCCCTGGAGTGTTCTCCAGTCCTCCTCGAAGATGCCCACATGGGCAGCCTTCTGGCTGGGGCACAGCATGAATGGGGCATGAGCCAGCCCTGGAGAGCAGAGCAGCCCCTGCCCAAGTGGAAAGAAGACTTATGTCACCAAACGTGCTCAAAGAACTTGCAAAGGCACAAAAGCCAGGCATAGTGATGTATACCTATGATCCCAGCACTTGGGAGGCTGAGGCAGGAGAATCACTGTGAGTTCGAGGCTAGCCTGGGCTACATAGTAGACCGACCTTGTCTCAAAAACCCATGCCCACTACAAGAGCAATTATTAAAAAAAAAAAAACAGAAAATAAGCATTTGGGAATTTGGAGAAATTAGGGGAACTTGTGAACCATTGGGAATGAAAAATATTGTAGCTACTGTGGCAAATAGTATGGATATTCCTCAAAAAAAATTTAAAAATAAGATTGGTGCATGATGCAGCTGTCCCACATTGGGCAATAATACCAAAGGAAAAGGAGGCAAGGGCTCTAACATCTACCTACCCATGTTCATAGCAGCATTACTCACCACAGTACAACATGTACCCTGCTTCTGGGAAAGCAATTTTTCCATGGAAAATAGGTTTTAGTATGAGTTTAGAAGGGCCACCCCCTGAAAATGGGCTCCATTGCATCTTTCTGTTGTTATTACACAATAGGGTTCATTTCCACAGATTTTTTCTTTCTTTCTTTCTTTTTTTTTTTTTTTTT